AGCCTATAATATGCAAAGTACAATTTTCTATTAAAAAATAATCTCTGATTCTGTCCTTTTCTCTGACATTTAAGGCCTAAGCTATTTTAGGTCTCAAACAGTTTGGATAGTTGTTAATATTAGAGTTATTAGAAATTATTTAAGAGATAAGTATTGTGTTACTACTATCTCTCGGCCACTTTCACTTTTAAAAACTCTATTTCGTGACAAAGTATAGTTTAACAAGTCATAACTAAAAGTGTGCCATGCATAGAATTCGAGGCAGTAACCAATGAGCTAATGGTTCCTCCCTGAAAGTTACATTAATATAGCAAAATAACTGGATTTTCTTACTGTTTTTTTTTTCAAATGAACGGTATGTGATTTTATTGTTGTTGTTTTTTTCTTGGGGGGGTGGGGGTGCTCGAAGGGGGTCTCGCCCAGGGTGTAATTCAATGTAGAACCGCCACTGCTCAAAGGCTGGTTCTCTGATTTCCTTCTCTTCAGCGTGCTCTTCGCATCGCTGGATCTTGAGAGCCTCCGCCGTTGGAATCAAGCGACCAGCAAGCTTAGGAAGCGTCTGAGGAAGCCGGCCGTCTTCGCCACCTTCAGCCATCCGTGCCTGCTACGCTATCCGGCGTCGATATCCTTTTTCTCACTGCTGTTTTGCCGTTGCATTACACCCATTCTAAAAGAGCCGAGGCGTTTTTCTCAAAATGCCTCGTTTTTCTTGCCGCTCGTGCAAAGCCTCGCTCAGCGCCGGAGACCGCCGCCTCTGTGGGACCGCGCAGGAAGAAGCGCCGTTCACAGAGACCGCCGAAGACGGACGTTGAGCCCATTAACCCGCCGGAACCTCTCCCTCGGGTTTCTCGGTCTCCGTCCCCGCCCCCCTTCCTGACGCGCAGCCGCCGGCTCCCGCCCGCGCCGCCTCAGGGGATGAAACGGATTCTCTCGTGGGGGACGCCGCTGACAGCTGTTCCATCCTGGCATCCGACTGCGAGGAGTGGTCCGGGAACTCGCACCTCTCTTCTGCCTCGTCGATCCAGGAATCCGGCCGGACTCGCGCCGGCGTGGATGCGGAGCTTATGCGCCTCCTCACCAAGGCTGTTGACCAGCTGGGCCTTGAATGGTCGACGCCCAAGGAGCCCAACCGACTCGACGGCTGCTTTCTCTCTCGCCGCCGTCAAGCGCCCGCATCCAGGACTGCACCCTTCCTGCCAGAGCTGCACGACGAACTCTCCAAGTCGTGGAACGCTCCGTTTTCGGATTACGGATTTAAGAAGCGCGACGGATCTCTCTCTTCGCGCCACTAAATCTGCTGCTCAGGCCCTGGGAAGATGCATGTCCTCGCTGACCGTCACAGAGAGGCACCTGTGATTGACGCTCGCGGACATGAGAGAGTCAGAGCGCGTGGTCTTCCTCAACGCCCCGCTCTCCCCCACCGGCCTCTTCGGGATCGTTGACCGCTTCTCGGAGGTACAGAAAACGACCCAGCGTCCAGCTCAACCTCCGCTTCCACAGCGACGACAGGGCGGCCGCCCTAGATCGCGCTCGAACAGCCGCCACGGACCGCCTCCCCCGCAGGGACCCCGGCCGAGGATAACGCTGAAACCCGAGCCCGCGAAGTCCTCCTAGCAAGTCTAGGAAGGAAAAGACGGACCAGTCCCGCCGCGGCCGGACCGCCGTCGAAGTTTCCCGCCTTGCCAGTCCCCGTTGCCATGGTTACTGCAGGCGAGTATTATGCAGCCAACGAGCCGGTAACACAACCCGCTCGCCTGTATCCAAACGCCGTTATCATGGCGACTCAAAATGTGTTTATTGGAGCCAACGAGCCGGCAACTCAGCCCGCTCGCCTGTACACAAACGCCGTTGTCACGGCGACCCAGAGAAATCTCAAAAAGAGCATAAAGCCTGGTTACACGGCTCACGCCGCATGTGTTTCGAGTGTAGAAAAAGTGCCCACACCCCAGTGTTCACCCCTACACACAAGCACTATAAATCCCGTGTCTCTCGCAGAGCCCACTCTCATAAAGCTGGCAAATGCCGCTCGAGTGTTAGAAGTAGATCACGTGCCCACAACTCTGTGCACACGCCTACCCACTGCCCGCTCTGTTTCACGGTCATCCCCCATATACCACACAATATGTTCCCCGTACAAAGCCACCGGGACATCGTGTATAAAACGGCCAGCCATCGCTGTGGGCGAGCTGCCGTATACAAGCACAGAGAGCGCGCGCACCGCGCACGCACCTCCGATTCAGGTTCTCAAGCCCACAGAGCGCGGCGATCGGAACCCGGAGGCCATTCTGCCACTAGCTTTACATGCAAAAGCATGGGATGCTATTCAGGGTGCGTCAGAATGGGTGCTGAGCACAGTAAAGAAGGGTTATACACTGCAGTTCGCTCGCCGTCCTCCGCGCTTTATATCGCGTCTCGAGACGAGAGTGAATGGGGAAGTAGCACATCTACTTCGTGCAGAAATAGCGAAACTTCTGTGCAAAGGGGCCATAGAAAGGGTGCACCCTTCTCTGAGCGAGTCGGGCTTTTACAGCCGTTACTTCCTCGTTCCAAAGAAGGACGGAGCCCTCAGACCAATATTGGATCTGAGATATTTGAACAAAGCCCTTATGAGGAGACCGTTCAAAATGCTCACTACCAGGAAAATCCTCGCGCACGTTCGCCCAGGAGACTGGTTTATCACCCTCGATCTGAAAGATGCTTACTTTCAGATTCAAATCATACCCCGTCACAGGCCATTCCTGAGATTCGCCTTCGACGGTCAGGTATACCAGTACACCGTCCTGCAGTTCGGCCTGTCCCTAGCACCTCGCACATTCACGAAGTGCCTGGACACGGCGCTCGCCCCCCTGCGGAGTCAGGGAATGCGGATATTGAACTATTTGGACGATTGGTTGATTTTAGCACAATCAGAGAAAGAGCTGATTTCTCACAGGACAGTGCTTCTCAGCCACCTGGAAAGCTTGGGTCTCACGGTCAACTGGACCAAGAGCTCATTACTGCCCAGTCAGTCTACTTCTTTTCTGGGTATAGAACTGGACTCTGTGGCTCTGACGGCGCGGCTGTCTACAGAGCGCGCGCGCCGTATTCAGCGCTTGGTCGCGTCTTTCCAGGAAGGCAGCATCGCACCCCTGAAAAAGTTTCAGAGGATGCTGGGCTTCATGGCATCGGCGGCAGCAGTCCTTCAGCTAGGTCTGCTGCGCATGCGCCCGCTGCAACGCTGGCTGAACGCTCGTGTGCCTCACCAAGCCTGGACGTCCGGCGGCATACGTATCACTGTGACTCACGGCTGTGTCTCAGCCCTGAGCCCCTGGGCGATAGCCGACTGGTACCGACAGGGTGTGACTGTGGGGGCTGTCTCACACCGGAAGGTCATCTCGACGGACGCCTCCAACCTAGGCTGGGGCGCCGTTCTCGAGGGCAGACCGGTCTTCGGCCTCTGGTCAGACCAGGAGAAATGCCTCCACATAAACTGTTTGGAGATGTTAGCGGTCGAGAACGCGCTGAAGCGCTTCCTCCCGTTCATACAGGACCACCACGTTCTAGTCCGGTCGGACAATACGGCGGTGGTGTCCTACGTGAACCGACAGGGCGGAGTCAGGTCCAGGAAACTCTGCATCCTGACAGAACGCCTTCTGGTGTGGGCCCAGCATTCAATGCGCTCGCTGAGAGCCGCGCATGTGCCAGGCCTCATCAATGTCGGCCCAGACAGACTGTCCAGGGACAACATTCCCCTGGGAGAATGGTCCCTGCACCCCCAGACAGTCCAGCGGCTGTGCACCTATTCGGCAAAGCGGAAGTAGACCTTTTCGTGTCGAAAGACAATGCGCACTGCCCGAGCTTTTTCTCCAAAAGCGAGGACGCGCTGGCCCAGACCTGGCCCAGCCGCCCGCTGTACGCTTTCCCCCCGATCTCTATGTTACCACAGGTAATCAAGAGGATCAGGGAAGGGCGCCACTCTGTGCTCCTCATAGCTCCGCGATGGGAAAACCAGAGCTGGTGAGGTTGTCACATGGAGCCCCATGGCCGATCCCGGTGAGGAGGGATCTCCTCTCTCAGGCCGGCGGGTCGGTTTGGCACCCCCACCCAGAGCGATGGGCTCTGCATGCGTGGGTGATCAACGATTACTCGTTGCTTTGCCAGAAGGGGTCATGAACACGATCACACAGGCTAGAGCGCCCTCTACGAGAAGGCTCTATGCTTCTAAATGGTCAGTGTTCGCTCAGTGGTGCTCCACTAAAGGCGCTGACCCACACACATGTGGTGTCTCACGGGTGCTCTCCTTCCTACAAGAGCTACTGGACAAGGGCAGGCTTCAGATCTCGAGGAAAGATAACTTTACCCGTAGCGTTAGATACTTACGCAATACTCGTTCCCTCTTCTAGAGAGAACAGAGGTTACGTTAGGTAACCGAGTAAGTTTTCACCTATATGCTTTTCTATGGAACAGTAAAGAGTAGGACTTTGATTTATTAAGGAGAAGTTTATTAGCCAATAGCCACTGCTGTATAATTGAAGTCATGCTGTAATCCATGCATCCATATAGCTATGTTGTTTCAATAATAGTAATTATTATTATTATTTAAATTGATACATGTTGTATTAGTCTCACTCAAAATGTACCTTACTAAGAGATAGATAAAACACATTTATTTTTTTTACTAAATGTAGCCTAAATGTGTTCTGGTCTTTATTCTATGCTGATATCTATAAGGCCTTTCTGATTCATTCCTTTTAAGGGTATCCTGGAATATACACTGAATGCCTTAAATTTGGTCACTGTACCGGCAATAAATATATTCTTAGGTCATGTTGTGTTCAGTAAGTAGAAAAGCTGCTCTCAGACACAGAAACACAACACACATTTTTAGTACTTTACAGATACAAACATCAAGCGAACATTAGGTTAATGGTTAATCAAGCTTAAACAAAAGTTTAGTAAGTGATGCTTAAAACAGTTAACCAAGACTGCTTGACAAGAGCACCACTGCTTGGAAATGCAACAGTACATCTGGATCTTAAGTGAAGTCAACAGGAAAGAAAGTGGTTTTTGTATTGCTTTGACCCTGAACTCATTCACAGTGACTCTCTAGCACAGTAATACACAGCAGTGTCTTCAGTCTTGAGGCTGTTCATCTGTAGGTACAGTTGACTGCTGGAGTCATCTCTGGACACTGTGAACCTTCCCTGGACTGACTGGGAATAGTAGATATAAGAACTGGATGTGCTGATAGTTGCAATCCATTCCAGACCTTTACCGGGACCCTGTCTCACCACAGCAGCCCAGTGGCTGCTGAATGTAAATCCAGAGGCGGTACACACCAGCCGAAAAGATTCACCAGGTCTTTTTACCTCAGCCTGAGGCTGAGTGAAGGTCTGACAATGGATATCTGTGGAAGAGAGAGAAAAAATACTAAAAAGTCAGAAAGTTGTAAAACTATTCAAAAAACTGACCTTTTGTAGTGTGCTTTCTAAAATTATCTATACATATATTACTGTTATTATTTAGAAATTAACAAACCATGTAAAAGTATTAATATCAGGACAATAATCGAACTGATAATTGTTGTCATTGCTGTTTGATTCTCGTCTACAGGAACCACATACAGTAAATGAACACAGACACGCATAAATATACATCACAGTTTTGCATGAACTCCTCCTCCAGTCTGTCAATGCTTGTTTGTGGGAATTTGTAAAAACAAATAAATAAATAATGAAGACATGCATAATGAAAGAACATAATGGTACTACATAAAGTAAGCAAAAACAGATTTGTTGCATAAATGTTTCAGAACGTTTCATAAATGTTAAACGGTTATGGATACTTGACTTTTCTTTTTCTTTTTTTTTTGGATGGGTGAAAAGAGTGGATAGTCACCATTATGACGATTAGTGATCCCTTTGGTTGGACACTTAGAACTTCATTTATATTATTGTAATTCTCTTCCCATTGAAGCAGCGATGCAACAAGAAATCAGTTATTTGGTTTCAAAGGAAGAGATGTATGTATGTATGTATGTATGTATGAAGTATAACAACTATATTCCATGCCAATTAATGATCTTTTATAATTTTGTTGCAAACACTTATGTCCTTAAACACCTTGTGAAACTTTTAATTGAGTTTATATAATCCCTCTATATTTGTGACAATCTTGTAATTGATCATGCTTGAGTCACACAGACTTCAACACTCAGCATGCAAAACACAACAATGGTAACAATTATATTTTATTTAAAGTACATGATCAAGTACTACAGTTCTTTTTTAGTTACTAGAACTCTTGTGTAAGTGAACTATACTAACTAAGCATTTGTCAGTACCACATACTATTCCTATTTCACTTTACTTGTTTTTTTTTAAGGCAATCGGTTTGCATGCTTTTTTAAGTAAGTCTAACTAATTAGATTATACAGTGGATGGATGTGTGATGAGGGATGGTATATCTGATTGAGTGTTCAGGTTTTTGTACATAAGTTGTGTCTTGTTCAGTCACAGTGTCTCTTGCACAGTAATACACAGCTGAGTCTTCAGTCTGAAAATTATTGTTTTTTTATGGAGTCTTTAATATTAATGCTACCACCATTGCAAAGATATCCCAGCCATTCCAATGCTTTTCCAGTGGGTTGACGTATCCAGTGAATGCAATAGCTTGTTTCTGAAATCCTGCAGGAGATGGAGAATGACTCTTGAGGTTTCACAACCAAAGATGGAGGTTGAGTGAGCTCAACACAGTAAACACCACCTGAAAAAAACAATGGAAGATTGTGTTATTAATTATGCCTCAAAAGTTCTGTTAACAGTTATAAAGCTTATTACATTCCCTTAGTTTAAATAAACCATCAGTGAAGCTCACAGGATGCAGCTGCTGCCAGCAGTAGAAGAGCTGATGAGAGGATCATGATTTGAAGTGAATGCAGCTTTATTACTCTTACTGATGCACAAAGCAGATACTCCTCTTTTATATAGAGAGCAAGTATTGCATTTGCATACAGCTCTTCGGTGTCCAAGATTTTGTGGTTGGTCATTTATTTGGTAGATAATTATTGCTTTCCACAAAAGATCACAACATCTGTGACCATAAACATGAAGAAAACTGCAAAGATGCATTATAGCACTTTAAGACATTTTTTAACTTATATGACTGTTTGTTTGTTTTAAAGTTTTGTTAAGGTATAAACTTGTCTCTCAAGTGTAATAAAAGCATTGGTAAAATAAACCTACTAGTTAAAAAAATATTCAATGTTATTTTTAGCTACAGCCTGTTGCCTACAAGGATAATTATTTTACCAATACTTTCGTCACACGCCTGACAGACAAGTTACATAAAGCAGTTCTACCAGAAAGACTCGGGAGATAAATTGAAAAGCTGTATACATTTATTGACAGCTCAGCAAGCATAAATTTATGAGATCTTTGGCGTAGCAAAGTCCTTAGCGAGCAAAGCGAGGTTAGCCGAATCTGCATGTCCCGCCTGAGATGAAGGCGGGGGCGCAGCAGACCCCCTGGAGGTAAGGAAGGGACCATCTTGGTGGTGGTTGGGGAGGATGGAGGTGAATGGCAGCGTCAGCATCTGTGAACTCAGACAGGTGTAAGTACCAATCTTTTATACTGTGACTGTTAACACCTGATTGGATAAAAATGAGGTAATACATGATGCGCTGATTGAGTCTTCCTGACAGAACTTAAGCTAAAGCTTTCATTGTTTGGATAATGGATGAAGTACATATTCGTACATTACTTAAAACATTATACCCCCGGTTTCACAGACAAAGCTTAAGCCTATAGTCCCAGACTAAAATGCATGTTTGAGCTTTTTTAACAGAAAGCAACTTGCACTGACATTATCTTAAAATATGTCACTGCCATTGTTTTATCTCAAGATGCACATCAGTAATGTTTTTTATAAGGCATGTTTATAAAGGCCTTATTCTGGCTTAATCTAAGCCTTGTCTGTAAAACCGGGTCTTAATCAGCAGTCTTAAAGTAGTTTAACCATTAAGATATGTTCTTGTATTAAACAAAAACAAAAACAAACGTTTTTTTTGTTTGTTCTTTGACTTTTTTATTTGTATTTATTTATTTATTTTTGAAAAATATCTGTAAATTATCATCGTTGATCAATGCAATAGGTGTAGATTTTACACACACACAAAAAAAATCCATACATAAACAAAAACAAAAGTTAATTTAGTGATGCTCAAAACAGTCAGATACGAGTCATACGACTGCTTGACAAGAGCGCCACTGCTTGGAAATGCAACAGTACATCTGGATCTTAAGTGAAGTCAACGGGAAAGAAAGTGGTTTTTATATTGCTTTGACCCTGAACTCATTCACAGTGACTCTCTAGCACAGTAATACACAGCAGTGTCTTCAGTCTTGAGGCTGTTCATCTGTAGGTACAGTTGACTGCAGCTGGAGTCATCTCTGGACACTGTGAACCTTCCCTGGACTGACTGGGAATAGTAAATATAAGAACTGGATGTGCTGATAGTTGCAATCCATTCCAGACCTTTACCGTGACCCTGTCTCACCACAGCAACATAGTAGCTGCTGAATGTAAATCCAGAGGCGGTACACACCAGCCGAAAAGATTCACCAGGTCTTTTTACCTCAGCCTGAGGCTGAGTGAAGGTCTGACCATGGATTTCTGTGGAAGAGAGAGAAAAAAACTGAAGAGTCAGCAAAATGTAAACTTGCTAAAATTATTTATGCATTCATAAATTATTATTTAGTAACTTATTGAGTTACAGACCATGTAAAGAAAGAAATATCAGGATTGAACTGATTGTTGTTGTCATTGCTGATTATTCTCCCCACATATAGTGACAGACAAACTCCACGGGTACAAAGCAACTTATGGGAAATATGCATCACAGTTTTGCATGAACTCCTCCCACAGTCTTTCATTGTTTGTTACCTTTGTTTATGAAAAACAGAAATTTGTAATATTGATGTATATATATATACGTGTCCTGCATGAAACTGATCTTGTTTTTTTATCAGTCTTTATTATTACTGCTACCACCACTGCAAAGATATCCCAGCCATCCCAGTGTTTTTCCAGTGGGTTGACGTATGAATGCAATAGCTTGATTCTGAAATCCTGCAGATGAAAAATTATTCTTAAGGTTTCACAATCAAAGTTGGGGGTTGAGTGAGCTAGACACAGTAAACACCACCTGAAAAAAATGGATTAATGTGTTATTATTAGTTGTGCCTCAAAACATGTTTTATGTCAAGACTTTAATTTAGTGCTTTAACCTCTTAACTGGCACTCCCCTTTTTTTAATAAACATGAAAATGCACAATCTGAACTTAAATGGTTGTAATTCAAGAATGCTTTGGAATATAGATGTAAGATTGGTCTTGTTTTTAAGAAGAAATTTGGCAGATTTTTGTAGAAGTTAAATAAATTAAGAAAGTGAAATAGAAAAAAATCGTTATAGAAAAAAATTTCAAATGTAAAATTTTATTATTCATATTTTATATAAAATATATTTTTTCAAAACCTGGTGGACTCTAAAACTGCAAGAAAATCAAAGCCAAAACTCTGAACAAGTTGTGTTTTAAAATTTAGGTTGATATCACAAAAAATGAGCTTTTAGTAAGATTTTGTTTGGGCGCAGTACCCAAACTTTGGTCACAACCAGACTCCATTACTGCCCATAAGGGCGCCCCTATTTCCATGTGTTTTGAGTGATCTGAACCATTATTTCCACATTTTTTAACATATTGATATTAGACATCCTTTTCAGAAGTAGTAAGGGAAGTTTGGCATATTTTGATATGAATTCAACCTCAATAATTACATAGAAATAACACGCATGTGCGTTATAGCTCGCTGCTACATCACAAATGGTGAATCTATAATTTTTTTCATTATATTTAAAAAAAAATTAAAAAGAATTCCAGACCTTTTTTTCTAAAAAAATTTAATGGATGTTATCTTTTGAACTATTGGCATGAAAACAAACTGAGGTTTCTACCATTCTTTCATGATTTTCATGTTCATCACTATTTCAAAATAAAGGTCTTAACACGCTAGGAGTATGAAAATATTATTGTTGCAAATTGATAGATTACAACTCTTCTGTAATTGATTTTGGAAAATCAATCACCAAATATGAAAACTACAGATCTTAAGCTTTCAAATGATATATAGTTTGTCACTATTAGTTTAGGTTTAGTATAGGATATTACTGTTTTAAATATGTAATGGCTATGGCAGTGCAACTTAAAGATTATGATACATAGGGCAACTTTTTGAGCAATGTTTCTGGGCAATCTTGCCGAGCGATTGTTGCTTGGGCACTTTCCCATTGAAAGTGGGCAATAAATTTCTCTCTTGATCATTTAGATCGGTCGTGGGCCCTGTTTCTCATCTGGTTGCCCGTTGACGGCAACATTGCCCAGCAACATTGCTCAAAAAGTTGCCCTGTGTATCATCACCTTAAGGGGTTAAATAAACCATCAGTGAAGCTCGCATGATGCAGCTGCTGCCAGCAGAGCTGATGAGAAGATCATGATTTGGTGTTTAAGTAAATGTAATTTGACTTCCCATGATGACCCACAGACACACACACTCCACTTTTGTACAGAGAGCAGAAGGAAGATTTGCAAACAGCCATCCACTTGTTCAAGATGTAAACAACAATGCTTTTCCTATTAAACTGATTTGATTTAATCATATTTGTCTTTAGATTTGGATGAAACATTTCCATTTCCTCGAACACATTTTATTTCCATATGCTTGCACAGAAATCTGATATGATATGTTGTTTAATAGTTGTACTTGCACTTACAACTGGTTACTGGTCTCAATAGGCAATTCATTTTACTTTAATTTGAATCTATATTTGAAAGCTGTTGATGTTTTCTCAGACTGAATATGTTCTTAGTCTGACAGTTTTGCCCTTTCAAAAAGAGTCTGTACAGAATGTTCTTATTTTAAAGTCTATGAAGAATGAATCATTATATACTTTATATGTTTTATGCAACAGTTAGTTCTGCCTTTTCATTGTTTGTATCACTCCGCTTGTCTGTGCATAGTGGGGGTTTTTCAGAGACACATTCTGCAAGTTACATTTGAATTCCACCACATATATTAAGAATAAACCTGTTATGCTACAATGCATGCTTTTCACATATCAAATTGTGTCATAGTGTTACAACTCCTACTTGTATATGGTTTTGTAGATCCGATCTCACGGCAATTCGTATTTTACGAGGTGGCTAATTCGTACGAATACATACGACCTCACTCGTACAAATTCGTACGATTTTTGCTAATTCGTACATATTTTACGAGTTACCAGATTCGTATGAATTCGTACGAATGACCTACCCCTGACCCCGCTCCTAAACCTACCCATCACGTGGGTTTAGACAAATTCGTACGAATTGGTCGTGAGATAGCGTTGGTAGATCACAAAGTGTGTCATCCAGAATGAAAATAGGTCACAAAATTTTCAAACCACAAATGTGGGAGTTAATGGAAACGAACATCACACATTTAGAACAATACAAGAGAACTGTAACAACAGCACATGCACACACACACAACATGCACATGCATGCAATGGTGAGCATGTACACTGTAAAAACTAAAGGTGCCTCAAATATCCTGTCGGATACTCAAGGAACCTAAAAATGTAATGTAAGTGCCTCAAAGCTCTTTCTCCTATAGTAGGGTTACTGGAGGAGCTCTGACCATCTTTGCGGTTCTTGCTAGAACTGATGGGATCCTTTAAGCACTTTGTATTCAGTTCAGAGGTTCTGGAGCCACCTTTTCACTACCATGAGATCTCAAAGTGCTTTGGGGGGAAATAGAGGAACATGAATGCTATAAAAGGGTTATTGTAAGATCTTTTAACATTTAAGTGGTTCCTGGAAGATCTCTTATGTTAAAGCCAGCATCTGGAGGAACCCAATGGTTCTGTGAGGCCAGAATAAGATTATTATCCTATTATTGATGTATAGGCTACATAAGTTTAAAAATAATAATAATAATAATATTTCATAATTTATACTTCTGATTCAGTATACTTACATTTATTTAGTATAGGCCTATTTTATTGATTAATTTAAAACTTAACTACCATAAATAGTAAGTAGCCTAATAATAATAATGATATGAAGAAGAAGAAGAAAAAGAAGAAGCAAGAGGAGAAGCAGCAGGAGGAGAACAGTTTTATTCTGTCTGGAAACTGCCTCTGCTGTCATCAGTGAACTTCGCGCTGCTCGCGCGCAACACAGCTCAGCTGATCGTCATCGGGTTTGAAAGTAACGGCTCCTTTCACCAAAGCTTCAGCTGTTTGTTCGGCTCTCCGTTACAAGGTTTGTAAACTATGGAGGGATTATTGGGACAGATTGAAAACTAAAAGTCTAAAACTAAAAGTCTTAAACGAAAACCAAAAGTCTAAGTTTGAAACTAAAAGTCTAAGTCGAAAACTAAAAGTCTAAGTCAAAAATGAATTTGGTATTTAGGATTGGGCATTTGGTATTTAGGATTGGGCATTTGGTATTTAGGATTGGGCATTTGGTATTTAGGATAGGGCATTTCGTATTTAGGATTGGGCATTTGGGCATTTGGTCATTTAGCCATTTAGGATTTAGGATTGGGCATTTAGGGATTTAGGATTGGGCATTTAGGGATTTAGGATTGGGCATTTAATCATTTAGCCATTTAGGATTGGGCATTTGAGGATTGAGGATTGAGGAGTGTATGCAAATAAGGAGGCGTGGCCCAAATACTGGATGCTGGGTTTGAACTGTAGTTTATTTTACCAGCCATTTCAAACCCAGCCTCCAGTATTTGGGCCACGCCTCCTTATTTGCATACACTCCTCAATCCTCAATCCTCAAATGCCCAATCCTAAATGGCTAAATGATTAAATGCCCAATCCTAAATCCCTAAATGCCCAATCCTAAATGGCTAAATGACCAAACGCCCAATCCTAAATACGATATGCCCTATCCTAAATACCAAATGCCCAACTGGGTTTTTATTATTTTATTTAAATAATAAAATATTGAAGTCTGTGATGCCGTGAGACTGGAGACTGTAATGAACACTATGGCTTTTGAAAAGCTTAAATGTGTGACTTGAATCAACAGGACTCATAAATAGTTGTTGAGTATTCTCACTAGAAACAAGATAGTTAAGGTGCAGTATAATTATCTGTTGTTCATTGAATTTTCACTGGTGAATTCCAGTCATTTCAATAAGAATCCACACAATAAGCAATTTTATGTGTGGTCAAAAATGTCACTATGGGACCAAGTTGGTCACTGGAATTGGCTGGATTTGACCAACAGAAAGCTGCTGGAAAGTGACTCCTGTGTGAGCTGTGCTTCATACATTACGTCGCTACACTGCTGACAATGGTCAATGGACTTTTTTGCCTGTGTAATTTCACGAATTTCACAAATGTGACCGCACCTTTACTCGCTGCAACATAAAATGCAATCAATAATAAAATCTTCACAAGGGACATGTGAGGTACTTCAGGAGTAAAAAAAAGTCAAAAGGTGCAGCAGCTTAATTTTCCATTTGTTTTTCCTCTTTTCTGGTGGATGGTCCAGGCACTTCAATGATTTTCAGGTCTACAGGAGGATTTTTTTATTCTTGTTCAAACTTGTATTTCAGCTTACCGAGGTCCCTGCAAAGAACCAAAATTACTATTAGCAAAGTTATTAAAGTGATAGTTGTGAACTTAAAATAATTTCCTTAGCCTTGTGACATTACTAACCTGTTTGACTTTCTGTCTGTGGAACCCAAAAGCAGATCTCGGGCATAATGCCCAGTCATCATTCAATTTCACTGCATGAGACAAGCAGAACAAAATTGTGTAAATCATTCATGAAACCATTCTTATGTACACTTGTCTAGTTCAATTCAATGCAACAATTTATGTAAAAATCCATAAATATTCTGTTAAGCTCAGAAATTTTTCTGAGTAACATGAATGAGATTTGAGAACATGAATGAGATTTAAGAGCATCAAGGAAGATTTTCAGAGAATAACTGATTAAAAAACACAAGTACACTGTCAAACAAAACAAATTCACATAGAAAAGTTCATAGTAATAAAGTAGTTGCATGTGGTGCAGGTAACTTACTGTAATTCAATGTTGCCCCTGAAATGTTCAGATGATTTTAGAAATGCAGTGGTTGTTCTGGGGAAACAAAAGAACAAAGCTAATTATATATCCATTCACAACATAATATGTATTGATCAGTAAAGGGCTTTAAAATGGTATTTGAAAGAATCAGGGTAAATTACCTGTAGTAAATAAACAAAAACAGACCAAAACAAGGCCTATCCACTTGTGTTATTCATAACAAAAGCCATGACAGCAGGAATCAGCTATTAATTAGTTATATCAGCAATTTGAAGACACATTTGCACATAATACATTGAAGTGAATGACTAAAACAATCTAAGACAATAAGTCAATGCTTTCCATTTGTTCTTTAACGTTAGTTCATTAGATTAGTTAGCATCACGACTAAAAACCTTCATACCACATACTGTGCAATAAACGAGTGGTAAACACTATTTTAAAAAAAATAATTTAGTTTGTATGTGTTTGAATATATAGTGAGTAGACTCTGTATTTATATTTCTTTGGCGAGTTTACAAACCTTGTAACGGAGAGCCGAACAAACAGCTGAAGCTTTGGTGAAAGGAGCCGTTACTTTCAAACCCGATGACGATCAGCTGAGCTGTGTTGCGCGCGAGCAGCGCGAAGTTCACTGATGACAGCAGAGGCAGTTTCGAGACAGAATAAAACTGTTCTCCTCCTGCTGCTTCTCCTCTTGCTTCTTCTTCTTTTTCTTCTTCTCCACCTGCTTCTTCTTTTTCTTCTTCTCCTCCTGCTTCTTCTTCTTCTTCTTCTTCTCCTCCTGCTTCTTCTTATTCTTCTTCTCCTCCTGCTTCTTCTTATTCTTCTTCTTCTCCTCCTGCTTCTTCTTATTCTTCTTCTCCTCCTGCTTCTTCTTATTCTTCTTCTCCTCCTGCTTCTTCTTATTCTTCTTCTCCTCCTGCTTCTTCTTATTCTTATTCTCCTCTTGCTAGGCTACTTACTATTTATGGAAGTTAAGTTTTAAATTAATCAATAAAATAGGCCTATACTGAATAAATGTAAGTATACTGAATCAGAAGTATAAATTATGAAATATATGTATTATTAGTATTATTATTTTAAACTTAAGTAGCCTATAACAATAATAGGATAATAATCGTATTCTGGCCTCACAGAACCATTGGGTTCCTCCAGATGCTGGCTTTAACATAAGAGATCTTCCAGGAACCACTTAAATGTTAAAAGATCTTATAATAACCCTTTTATAGCATTCATGTTCCTCTATTTCCCCCCAAAGCACTTCGAGGTCTCATGGTAGTGAAAAGGTGGCTCCAGAACCTCTGAACTGAATACAAAGTGCTTAAAGGATCCCATCAGTTCTAGCAAGAACCGCAAAGATTGTCAGAGCTCCTCCAGTAACCCTACTATAGGAGAAAGAGCTTTGAGGCACTTAAATTACATTTTTAAGTTCCTTGAGTATCCGACAGGATATTTTAGGCACCTTTAGTTTTTACAGTGTAGGGCCAACACAGCGGCTGTGATTGTAACAATCATTGCTCTAACCATGTTCTTAGTCTTTATGGGTGTTGGAGCCTTCCATAATCTTTTATGGGCTTTCCTCAACAGTCTCTAAATATTTTGGCATGCACTTCTTTTTCCTCTGAACTATCTATTGACAACATTGAATGGCAAAATCCAAAACCCCGAAATTCTTATGATCGTAGGTCAGAGAGCAGTGGAACGGGTCAAAGTGGATACAGCTCTTATCAACCTAAAGGCAACATAAATAGAACCGCTCAGAGAACCTCATACAGTGGAGGGAGATAGAGAGGCTGAAGGCAAACATACAGGGGAGGTTCAATTAATCATGCATTTTATTGAAATGTCACAATCAGTTTAGTTTGATTAACAGTTTTTAAATTTAAAAAAAGTATGATATTCTCTAAAATTATTTTACAGTCACATAATTTGATTCTGATATAATTTGCTGAGAAGACTTAAAATAACTTTCTTGATTGTTTGTCTTCCATTTATGTTTGAGCGAGTATGTTACTAGATAGCTACTTTAACTAAATATATGCTTTATTAGTTATAGAGTTAAAACCAGTCTTATGAAACTATACATGCAAATTCACTTATTTTCTTAAAGGCAATAACCAAACACAGGTGTTTCCTGAGGGGGAACGCATCAGTAAATGTGACTTTTTTTATATACACTATCTTGTCTCCAAATATGTATCTATTGTTTCAATAATTGTAATTATTATTATTATTATTATTATTTAAAGTGATACATGTTTTTATAAGTCTTGCTAAAAATTTACCTGAATGTTTATAAGAATGTGTGTTAATATGAACACACATTCTTTCTTTTTTGTACTTCTTTTTTTAAGGCCTTTCTGATTCATTATATTTCTAGAGGTATCCTGGAATATACACAGAATGCCTTAAATTTGGTCACTGTACAGGCAATACATATTTCCTTAAATCATGTTGTGTTCAGTAAGTAGAAAAGCTGCTCTCAGACACAGAAATACAACACACACTTTTAGTACTTTACAGATACAAACATCAAGCCTGCACTATTAATATTACTGCAGAAAATGAGGTTAATGGTTAATCAAGCTTTCATAATCATAAGCTTCGTGAGAATGGATCAATAAATCAATGCGTTGGTATCAGCAATTATATCTATTCTGTCTGAAGATTGCACTTTTTATATATCGATAAAAAGAGACTTCACTATCATGAAATAATGTGTTAGAAGTGGAAAGAAAGATCTAGAGAATCTTTCTACTGAGAATCAGATTGTATTTTCCATGATTTGACTACATGTGAGAACAGTGCGCCCTATTGTGAAATGTGCCAAGAATTCATTTGTAACACAATTTAATAGGAGGCAGATTATGTCAGTGTACTAAGCTTTTGGGTGGAAAGTAGTGAAGACAGAAAAATGAATGAAATATTTGCTCATATAATCTCTATTTTAACTTTTACAAACAAATGCCAAAGGTTAGAACATAGGCCGTCATGTTTTGGATATTGAATATAATCTGGAACTGAAATTATTCATGTGGTGAGTGTTGTTTTTGAACAAGGCAGTAACTGCTCTGTGTCACTGTGTCTATCTGGCACAGAAATACACAGATGTGTCCTCAGTCTGCATATTCTGTCCTTGTAGAGTCACTGAGCTGCTGGAAGAGTCTCTGGTAACTTGAAATCTACTTTTCAGTTTATCACTGTAATATGTGTTACCATCACCACATATCATTCCAACCCATTCCAGAGCTTTTCTTGCAGGCTGTCGTATGAAGCCAGTGCAGTAGCTGCTGTCAGTCACTGAATACCCAGAGATCTTACAGGACAGTGTCAAAACCTGAGCAGGCCTTAAAACCATAGAATCAGTCTGGGTCAGTTCAACACAGTGGACACCTGGGAAAACAAAATATGGCCTGACATCTTAGAGACATGGAAACATTTTGTATAAATAATACATTTTTATTATTAAGTATTTCTATAAAAAGCATGAAGACTTACAAGAGACGGCTGCTAGCAGCAGAAACAACCCGAGAGATGAGGAGACCATGGTTTGAGAAGTTGTGTGAGGACAAGCTGCTCCTTTTCATTTAAACATTCAAATAAAGAGGAAGAGGAATATTTGCATATGGTTCTGCATATGCAACTCAGAAAAAAAGTATTACATATGTTTTTTATGTATAATTTTGTATTATGGGCTTCTTTTTTTTTTTACATTTCTTTCAGAAGACAATGTTGACAGTAATGATGAGTGTACTGTGGTATTATGAAGTTATATTTTAGTATTGTCTGTGATATGAACAGTATAGAACGCACTTTAAATTCATGATCATGAAATCATTATTGATAAATATATTCAGTCAAGATCATTCAGGGCATATATATTAGGGTCAGGGATAAGGGCATTTAAATAGTTAATATTCTTATAAAGCTTATATATTTTATCCTTTAGCGGGAGGTGTGTCTGTTTCTTTGGATCAAAGTTGTACTGTGCTCTTGTGTCTGTGGGGTTCTCCCACCCCTACCCCTCCATTTTCCTCCCTGACATGTTTTTGTACAGCCCAGTGCTTTTTTTGCATCATTGTGTATCTCTTGCACAGTAATACACAGCTGAATCCTCTGTTGTCAGACCAGAGAGTTTCAGGTACACAATGCTGTTTGAATTATCTCTGGTGATCTCTATTCGTCCCTCAACACTTTTTGCATACACTGTTTTACTGGCATCATACCAGATAACTCCCATCCAGTTCAGTGCTTTCCCTGCTGGCTGTCTGATCCAGTGCATGCCATATTGTCCAAAATCAAATCCAGATCCTCTACAGGATAGGTTCAAAATTTCTCCAGGCTTTTTAGTAACAGAACTTGATGGGATGGACTCCAGGTTCTGACCATTAACACCTAAAAAAATTAAAGTTATGATGAGTCCACAGTATCATATACAGTACACCCTTAATAAATACTGGAGCCAGGAGTAAATAATAATAACAAGAAATAGAGATACATACTAGTAAAGCACATCAGGAGAAAAAATAAGAATGAAAAGTCTGCCATTTCAGACGATGCTGGAAGACCAACTGCTACACTGTCACTGAATACTTCTGGTAGAAATACTGTACGTTATCTCATTTACATTTGGGTGGAGTTTTAAAATCTAATAATTAAGATCTAATGCACTGTTGAGTCACTATACCAACAGAATCCCTTATACAGTTGTAGGATATTTATCAAGAATGCTTAATTGTAACAAACGTGATTGAGAATTTTCAAAAGTTAAAATTTTCACTAGTTTTTGTTGTTTTGTGAATTACTTTGACCTTTTCAAATACTGTAATATGCAATCCAATTTGAATACATGTATCATCCCAGTTTCATCATAACACTTTCAAGCATTTTATTTGATTATTTATTCATTTATTTATTTTTGTTTCTGGCTATACTACCTTAAATCGAAGGTTATTTTAAAGTTATTTGCCACTTCATTTGTAATTGTAAAGAACTTGTAATTGTAAAGAACTTATATTTAAGAACTAAGCAAATATCAAAATGAAGTGCTGCAAAAGATGATAATTGCTGAGCTTTTAATTTCTTTTGTGCAAATACTTGCTGATAAATAATGCATTTACACAAATGTATCATTAGGCTTGTTTTTTTCAATAGGATTTTTGTTTTAACAGCTAAATGAATGTCTATAATGTCATTATGACTTTTGTTAACCTAATGTGCTCCTAAGAAAATCAGACTGTTGTGGAAAACCGTCATAACACTCTTAATTTGTAATATGATGATGATGTTTTTGTACAGAGTGGCTGTTGGCGTCTGTCACTGTGATTCTCTGGCGCAATAATACACAGCTGCGTCTTGAGCTTGCATATTCTTTCCCTGCAGTGTTATTGTGTTACTGGAGGTGTCTCTGGTGATGCTGAACCGGCTTTTCAGGGAATCCTTGTAGGCTAAGCCTCCATTATAATCGATCAATCCAATCCATTCCAGAGCTTTTCCTGCAGGCTGACGAATCCAGGCTGTATGATAGCTAGTAACTGAATAGGAGACTTTACAGCTGATAGTTAGAGTGGCATCAGGACGGACAGTCAGAGACTCAGGCTGAGTGAGTTCATATGAATCTATACCTGTATCAAATGAAATAATACCTGTTAGTAAAATTGCATGAAGTTTAAAGACTGTTAATAACAAGCTTTTTTTGCAGCAAAATGATGTATCACACAGAAAAGTAGACTAAACTTACAGGATACTACAGCCAGAAACACTAAAGATGAAGAGATCATGGTGTTTCACAGCACAGTTTGAATGGACTGAAGCGGTTCTTCCCTCCCTCTAGTGATCAGATGAATGTAAACTGACTCATGCCTGGTGTTTAAATATATTATGCAACTGGTGATTTACATAAACATAAAGAGTAACTAATCCACTTCACATTCTCAAACAAGAATATTGGGATTACACGAAGAGGCATCACACTGTCCAAGCCTTTTGGTCTTTAATTTGATGATGCCAGTCATTATTTATATGGTTGAAGTCCATTAGCAGAAAATACAAACAGATTATAATTACTGATTTGACAGAATTTAGCTTTTTTTTTTTTTTTTCATGCTTGTATTATCAGGATATATCAGGCCTTTTGCATAGACATTACCAACATTAATGTTTTAATTATTATTATTTTATATTATTTATTTATTTATTTTCCTCCTTTAATGTTGTTGTATTTTTTTGGAGTTGAACACCAAAGTGACAAAAAATTAGTTTTATCAATTAAATTAGTTTTAAGAATTAGTTTTATCAAATTGCTTACACAAAAGTGGAACTTGAGGCCCACTCAGTGAAACCATTCACTCATGTACCTGATCTTCAGAACAAGTCTGCAAAACTACAAGCACATTATACGCTTTACACTCAGTTTGCAATTGAAAATATTTCACAGTTCTCTACATTAGACACATCATTAAAAACTAACAGCTCTTTTGTTTCATTTGGGAAACACTGCCATTTAAATGTCACATTAATTTACTGATGACCTACACCCAATGATCAATGATCATGTGTGAAAACACTTATACATGAATTGTTCACTTAGACACCAAAACTCAGTGTTTTGAGAAAGAAAGTTCACGAGTTCACAGTACATGGAATCAGATGTAGTCATTTATGCGTATTTGGCGTGCTGTATGGGAGAGGGCTGCGAGCACAGAATTTGGCCCGAACCCAGAGTACTCCCCCTTTTACTGGGATAGAAAACCAGCCAAGAGTGCGGTGATGGGGTGGTAGAGGGATACTGTGAAACTGTCATGGGACAGAGGTGAGGGAAGGCTATATTTATACCGGCTTCCTCTTGTGCTGATTGGTTGATTACCTGAAGTGCTCATCCCGAACTTTGTTACATAAAACTTTATAAATAATTTTTACCCCTTGAATTTCTGTTTATAGAGTAAATATATAATATATTTAAACATATGTATGTATGTATTGAATGTATGTAGGCCTACGTATGTTTACATATACATACATACATATATACACGCACATTCACACACACAGCGCTTTAGAAATAAAGTTGACTTTCTGACTTGGCTTGTATGTATATTCAGTGTGTGTGTGTGTGTATATACAGTATATATATATATATATATATATATATATATATACACTCCACTGCACAATGAACAAGCAAAAGACACGAGATAGCGTTTTACATTTTTCACATCCCTGTGTAGTTTGTGTATGTGGCTAATCATTTTGTGTCTGTGTGTAGAGTTACTGCGCAAAAACAAAATTTTTGGAAGAACGAAGTTTTGAACGACGTGTTTATAAATATGTCTTGTTCGATTTTTTTCGACATATTATTTATATCTGTATTATTATTTTATTGATGTTACATCTGACAGCAACAACAGCCGTAATACTGTACGTTTTCCTACATCAGAAACCTACATTCTGGATGTGATTTTCTGCTCGAATCTCTGTAGTTGACACACTGTTGCTGAGTCACTGAAAACCGTCCTCGGGTTACGACTGTAACCCTTGTTCCCTGAGAAGGGAACGAGAACTGCGTCGAATGACACTTTGGGGGGAACGCCCCTCAGCGTAGCGCCTCTGAAGCATGAATGAAACTGAGCCGATCTCCAATTGGTGCAACGTCATGACGTAGTGTGTGACGACACATAGGCGGAACTATAAAGGCACGCCGGCAAAACAAAATGACAGCTTCTGTGCTGAAGCAAGCGCTCCCAGGCAGGGGAAGGCGTGGCCAAGGGACGCAGTTCTCATTCCCTTCTCAGGGAACAAGGGTTACAGTCGTAACCCGAGGACGTTCCCTTTCGAGGGAACTCCATCTGCGTCGAATGACACTTTGGGGAAACGAGTACCCACTACGCCACAACGAGCCCTGCCTGCCCTAGTGTGAAGCTGCTCACAGGCACACTTAGGACGAGAGCACAAGAGAGCCGGGTGTCGATGGAATGTCCAGACTGTAAAACCTAATAAAGGTATGAGGGGTAGCCCATCCCGCTGCATCGCAGACCTCCTGGATGGGGGCCCCCGCGAGAAGGGCTCTAGAGGACGCCATGCCTCTGGTAGAATGAGCCCTCACGGCCAAAGGTGAAGGCATACCGCGCACCTGGTAGGCCGTGGAAATCGCATGGACAATCCAGTTGCTGATGGTCTGTTTTGAAGCGGGAAGCCCCTTCTTGGGCGACCCGAAACACACCAGCAACTGGTCCGACTTCCGCCATGAAGAGGACCTCTGAATGTAAATACTCAGAGCTCTGACAGGGCAGAGCATGTGAAGTCTCTCTTCATCTGCCGTCACGTGAGGTGGAGGATGAAAAGCCTGCAGAACCGTAGGCCGTGCCGCACTGGACGGCACCTTAGGCAAATAGCCGGGCCTAGGGTGAAGAATGGCCTTAATGTTGCCTGGAGCAAACTCCAGGCACCCGTTAGATAAGGAGAGCGCCTGGAGATCTCCTACCCTACTCAGAGAAGTAATGGCCAACAGAAAAGCCACCTTCAGCGACAGGTTCTTGGCCTCAGCCGACTCC